CTGTGTGAGTGTGGGGTGGGCAAGTTTGGAGGGAAGATCTGTGTGAGTGTGGGGTGGGCGAGTTTGGAGGGAAGATCTGTGTGAGTGTGGGGTGGGGGGAGTTTGGAGGGAAGATCTGTGTGATCCACTGGAGACAGGGGAGAGGAAGGGAGGCATCACAGATTGTCTGCCGTGAGGTAAGGCTGAGACTGGGGCATTGTATTTGGAGGAGCTAAGGGAGAGGTGAAGATCTGAAGTAGTATGTTCTCTTAACCACTAAGCTATCCTCCCCGCCCCCCATAAATGAATACAGTTTTTAGTCCCATTCTTCAGATGAGAAAACTGACCGAGATGGTAAGTGCTCGCCCAAACCCATGTTCGAGAGTCCATATTCAGGCTGTCCATCTTCCCTGTGCCCCACCACCTTGAAAGCAATGGAATGGCAAATAATTAGGTTCCCTTTTCAGTTTTATTGAGCTATTATTGAAAAATAAAGTATACATATATTGCAAGGGTACAAAATGAAGTATTCATAGATCGCACACTGAGGAGTAGTCACAGTGAAGCTAACGACCCGTTGATTCATGAAGTTATTACTATTCCCTTTCCTTCTCTCTCTCCATCCCGCTCTACTCCCTTCTTTTCTTCTCACCCCTTCATTTCTTTCTCCCCGCTCCCTTGTCTACTTAAATTTCTGGTAAATCTTAGCGATACAATACGTCATTGTTAACTGTAGTCACATTCCTGTGTATCAGATCCTGAGGACTTTTTCATCTTCGCTAAGTGAAACTTTGTGTTTTTTGAGTCCTGTCTTCCCATTTTCTTCTCACCCCAGTCCTTGGGAAACATTTTATTTTTTGAGTCCTGTCTGGCCATTTTCTTCTCATCCCAGCCATTGGCAACACCATTCTGCCTTCGGCACCCAGGTTTACTATGAGTGAGATGTTCTTGTTGTCTGTCTTTGGTTTATTTCTCTTAGTACGATATCCTCTGGGCAGTGTAAAATGAGATTTCCTTCTATTTAAAGGCTGAGTAGTTTCCTTTAGCACAGATGTGTGTGAATATGTAATTCGTGAATTTTTAGGTTGTTTCCATACATTGGATATAATGAACGATGCTGTGGTGGGCATAAATATGCTGATTTCCCTTTCGGGTGAGGATCTCCTTTCATTTTATATACATAAGGCCTCCCTTATCTGTGGAGACCATATTCAAATAACTGAAAGCAGATGCTTGAAGTCATATATAGTGCTAAATCCTGTAGATTCTTTTATTTTTCTCAAATAAATTATTTTTATTTTATTTTATTTTTATTTTTTATTTTATTTATTAAAAATAAAATTATTTTTCTCAAAACAAATTACAAAAGTTTGATCTTTAAGTTAGGGATAGTAAGAGCTTAACAATATCTAATGCTAAATTAGATAATAAAATAATGTGCCTATAGCACCTTTTGATGTATTTCATTGTTTTGAAGTCACCTTTCTTGAGATGTGAGGTGCTATAGTTGCTTGAATGATGTGATGGAGTGGAGCTATTGATGGAGACGTTACAACCTGCATTAGGCTGGTCTGTGTCCATGCCAACTGATCTGATATTGGAAATGGCTTCTAGGTGACTAATGGGTGGGTAGAATATAACATGGATACAGTGAGCAAAGGGGTGGACACCAAAGAGTTCATCATGCTGTTGTGCAGAATGTGAAACTTGTGAATGGTTTGTGTTTGGTATTTTACATCTAAATTGCCAAATTGTGTCTGACTGTCAGTAACTGAAACAGAGAAAAAGCAAGGAGTATTTGATGTGTACCTAGAACCAAGACCATAAAGACAACAACATCAGTAGAGACTTGACTCTCGGCATTCATTGGGCAGAATGTTCAATAGGGCTGCACCTCGTGTAACAGTTCGATCCCAGAACAGAAAGTAAGTTCAGTGAGCCTGAATGTTGTTGCCTGGATGAGTGTGCTGAGAGATACATTGTGTGTGTGTGTGTGTGTGTGTGTGTGTGTGTGTGTGTGTGTGTGTGTGTGTTTTACTGTAACTGTTTAGCTATCAGATAGGTGCTTGTGCAAATGAAGCTTTGTGGAAGTGTTTCAGAAACCAAAATTATATTTTAACTGAAAACCTCTAATTTCTAGTTTCCCTAGGACATTATCTTTCTCTCTCTCTTGTTTTTTTAGATCCCATAATTCAGTCTTTTCTTTTTTTTTTCTTTCCACATTTCAGGCAATGTTCAGTCTTTGTATGGTGGAAAGTGGAGCTGATGAAGTGAATTTACGTGGTGTGACCAGCCTGGGCTTAAAGCAGGCTCTGGAGTTTGCATACACAGGACAGGTATGGTGGTGACGAATGTGACATGAGTATCTTTGCTTATTGACTGTGCCTAATCAAAGGAAATTATCCTCAATGGATGAGATCTAGTCACTTTATATATTGGTAATTTTTATGTTTAAAAAAATCATATCTACATAATTTTATAACTGAAGTAATGGAAAAATGAGTAGAACCATTTGATTTTTAATGTTATTTAGGAAACAGATAACATTAACCATATCTCTGAATTATGTGCATGCTAAGATTGTTTTTCCACAGTCCAAAAAACTCTCATAAGGAAAAGAATTGCGGTTAGCTGAATTCCTGTTATCACTTCAGCTCAGTGACTCAATTATGGCTTTATTGTCTGAAAAACAAGAGCAAAGCAGGGCAAGTGGTAGTCCAGTGGTAGAGTGAACAAGACCCATATCCACAAAAAAAAAAAAAAAATCAAAACAGTTGTCCTAGTTAGGGTTACTATTGGTGTGATGAAACACCATGACTAAAAGCAAGTCGAGGGGGAAAATATTTATTTGGCTTACTGTCTACATCACAGTCATGCCAGGAACTCAAGTATGGCAGGAACCTGGAGGCAGGATCTGATCCAGAAGCCATGGAATAATGCTGCTTACTGGCTTATTGTCCAAGGATTACTCAGTCTGCTTTCTTTCTTTTTTTTTAAATTTTTAAATTTTCTTTTTATTTAATCTTTGTATCTTTCACACATCATGCATCTCAATCCCATTCGTCTCCCATCCCTGCATATCTGCCCTCTTTTCTTGCAGCCTCCTACCCCCAAATAAAAGTTAAGAGGAAAAAGAAAAGAAAAAAGTGTGTGTTGGGGGAAATCTCATCATGGAAACTATAGTGTGACACAATGGATCACACAGTAAACCCTTTTATTTATGTATCTTTACTTGCAAGTGCTCATTGCAAAGAGTCCTTGGTCTGGTTCCAGGCCACAGGTTTCTGCCACGCTGTCCATGCTGGGCCCTCACTGGACTCCTCTTGATTATCCTGCTGTTGCCCTGTGTTGTGGAGATTCTGCAGCTTTGGGTCTGCAGGTCAAGTCCCTTCATGTGCTCCAGTAGATCAGAAATGGGGTGGATATTGTGGCCAACACATAACCCTAGTTCTGGGTCTGGGTAGTTGCAGGGTTGGTCAGCCCACCAGCTCTCCCTTGTCCTCACCACTAGGGTGAGCTCTCCTGCATTGTCTAGGAGAGTTCACCCTTTGCAGCCATGAGTGGAGTGGGGGCAGTTCTCCTGCATTCACGTCCTGAGGGTCAGATCCCCCACACCTACACCTTCAGGGCCAGCTCTACTGTGTTGCCCAGGCATGGCATAGGGGTCACTCTCCTGAGTGCTGCAGCAGATGAGGGGCAGGGCTAGATCTCCTGGTCTTACGACCTCAGGGCCAGTTCTGCCAACTGCCTCAGGCATTGATGGGGGCTGGAGAAGAGTATCACAATGTAAAACAGATTACAAACTGAAAAGTCCTATGGCATTTACAAACACAAATTCAAACTTCAATCTATTTAATATATCCAGTTTCTTTTAAAAGATAAACTCTCCCTAAAAATCCAGTCTCTAAAATTTCAAAGTCTCTTTAATAATTCTAAGTCTCTCAAATGTGGGCTTCTGTAAAACCAATAATAAGATAAAGACTTTCTTACTCTAAGAAGGAAGGACCAGCCGGGCGGTGGTAGCACACGCCTTTAATCCCAGTACTCAGGAGGCAGAGGCAGGCGGATCTCTGTGAGTTCGAGGCCAGCCTGCGCTACCAAGTGAGTCCCAGGAAAGGCGCAAAATTAAAAAAAAAAAAAAAAAAGAAGAAGAAGAAGAAGAAGAAGGAAGGACCGGGGCCAAGTCACAATCTGAACAAAGCAAAACTAAAAGTCCAACAGCATAAATCTTGGGGTCAGGCTTCTAGGATTCATGATGTTTCTGGGTTCCTCCAAAGGGCTTGCCACAGCACACACACCTCGTCTAATAGGCTTAGGCCAGCTCCACTCCATGGCTGCTGCTAGAGGTTCTTGGAGGTTGTTCCCATGGTACCGACATCTCCAAAATGCTGGGTCCCCTGCTGGGCCTGGGCTGCACCTTCACCACATTCGCTTTTCACCACTCTCCGGGCTCACTTCTGGGACTCCAGCCCTGTCACATAGTGACAAAGCCTCTGATGCTCTCCATGGCCCCATTCATGCCTTCAAAAACAGTACCACCCGGGTGACTCTTACGATACCAAGTTCTCCTTCCAGCATGAGGTACAACATTGGCTGCCTCTTGAACACGGCTGCTGTGTGCTGACTCTGGGGAAATTTCCTGAAAGACTGCACTTCAACCATGCTGGTCTCCTCTTACTCACAACCAACTCTTTAGCCCCAGCTGACCAGCATTCTTTGTCCCAGCAAAACAAAGGTCTTACTTCGGTGGTTCTGGTCTCTTGTTAATTACAGACACCACAGATTCTTCACACAAATGGCCCAGTAGAATCCTTGCTTCACTCTGAAACTTCACAAGCCAGTCCTCCATTGTCTGAATTTCTCTCGATACTTTTATCTTCCAAGCTCCCCAAGAGCAGCTTACCAAACTCTCAACACTCAATAGCCTTTCCAGCCCGAAATTCCAAAGGCAGTCTACAGTATTCCTAAAACTACACGGTTGGGTCTGCCAGAGCAATACCCAACTCCTGGCACCAGTTTATGTATTAGGCAGGTTGTTGTGATGAAACACCATGACCCAAAGCAACTTGGGGAGTAAAGTGTTTATTTTCCTCACTCTTTCATATCATTGTTCATCATAGAAAGCAGTCAGACCAGGAATCCAAATAGGGCAGAAATGTGGAGGACTGCTGCTTACTGGATTGCTCTCCATGGCTTGCTCATTTTGCTTTCTAATAGAACTCAGGGCCACAAACCCTGGGGTAGAACTTCCCACAATGGGCTGAGTCCTCTCATATCAAACACTAATTAATAAAATGCCCCACAGGCTTGCCTACAGCCTGATCTTAGAGGGGTGTTTTCTCAATTGAGGTTCCCCCCTTTCAGATGACTGTAGCTTGTGTCAAGTTGACATAAACAATCCAGCGCAACAGTACTAAAGCCTCAAGAAGATTTGGGAGTTATAGCAGAAGCAGAGTACACACACAAAAGTGTTGGACCTGGTCACCAGGGACCGCCAGCACTGCATTTCACAGAGAAGGTGGTATTTGGTTCTTAAAGAATGTGGGAAGGTTTACCGTTCCTCTAAATTTTCTTTCGATGATTGTTAGAATGGATGATATTTGGGCTTGGAGAGATGGTTCAGCAGTTAGGAGTTCTAGGTGCTCTTTCAGAGGACCCAGTTTCAATTCCCAGCACCCACATGCACCTCATACCACCTGTCTGTAACTTTAGTCCTAGGGGATCCAATGCCTTCTTCTGGCCTCCGTGGGTGTCAGGCATATAAGTAGTGCACAGACAGACATTCAGGCAGAATACTCAAAGATGTAAAAAAAATCAAGTGTGATATTGTTTAGTCTTTTTCTTAATCCAGTAGAGTTTGGGATGTATGTCTTAGAATAATTTAGACAAATCTGGCATCTAGAATGAAAACAGAAAAAACAAAAACAGCATACATTGAATAAAAGAAAGAAAGAAGGGAAGAGGATGGTGTATGCAAATTCAGGGTTAGCCTTGTCAAATTTCATATCTTAAGAAATTAAGGCAGGCAGTTATTATACAGAATTGCCAAACATTTTTGTAGTGAAGTTAGTAAATAATGTATTTTATGCTTTTGGTTTACATATGTAAATTAATGTATTAGTTCTAAATTATTTTATGTGTGCATTTATCGCTTAACACCACTGTCATATCTGCATTGTCTGTCTCTTATGTAAAATCAATAACCCATACTTCACAGAGAGAAATGGAGGTTTGGCACTATGTGGTAGGTCAGAGTCCCTGAAGAGAGGCCAGGAGGCCATTGGTGAGAGTTCAGCCTCAATTGTAGTGAACTACTTCCACATATTTGAGATGGCAGTACTTTGGGATGACCAGAAAGGACAATGGCAGGTGTGGAGGGGAGCCTGCCTGAACCTATAAGACAAGCTGTGTGTTCTCTGGATGGCGGAACCAGAGTGGAGTAGCTGTCCAAGCTCTTTGGAGCCCAGAAGATACTGAGTGAGCCCAAGTTGCAGCACTCAGAAGGCAGAGGCAGGTGGATATTTGTGAAATTTGAGGTCAGCCTGGCCTACACTGCAAATTCCAGGCCACTCAGAGTTACATAGTGAGACCCTCTCTCAAAAAAATGACTTTGCAATAAATCCATTTTGCCTTGAAATGGGGGTTACAGATGATAGCAAAGCATTGCATTTGTAGCATGTTTGGGAAATAAGCAAAGATGCCTTCTCTTATTGTGGAGTTGAAAGTAGCACTGAGTAAAAAAGAATCTGGAATGTATTGGTATAAATGAAAGCATGGTTTTTCCAATTTCTTCATTGTTACTGATCCTTATGGACTTTCCGGTTATGTTTTTTAACCAATATATATGTGTATATATAATATGATATGTTTTACATATACATATATATATATATATATACACACACACACACATACCTTAGAACTATGTGTACGAGAAACACACATACAAACACACACATACATGCATGCACACTGACAGCTGATTATGTGTTTAGCTGGTTGTAGTAAGCATACTATAAAATGCAAGTATTTTAAGTGTCTGAAAATCACTGCTGTCTTGGAAAGAAGTTGGGAGTACAGAGTGGGAGTGCTGAATGAATACTGCTAAGTGCAACAGTGTGTGTGTGTTCCTCCTACACACAATTCTAAAGTACAGCCTTCTGAGCAGCATCCCACAGATTTCATCCAGGAAGTGTTGAAGGAAAGTCAGAATTTCCTCAGGGCTCACAGCTCCTCTGAACATGTGTGCACTCTTCCTGTGTCATGGCAGACGCATGTCTCACAAGCCTACACTTGTCTTTGCACCCATTAGAAAGCATTCGTCCTTTGTCTACAC